GAAGTGAAGAGGTGCATGACAAAGGAAATGTCACCTGTCAGGCTGTGGAAATCATAGGGAGATGTACAGGGCCTTTAGTCCATATGAAGGATTAAAACCAACCAGACAAGCTCTGTGTACTGGTTAGAGTTTAGACAAGGGTGCAGCCGCAAGAGGGGTATCCTGCAGATGAGGGTTAGGCAGGGTAGATGTGCCTTGTCAAGGAGGAGGGGCATTATTCGAAGTGTAGCAGGCAGCTTCTCCAGAATCTGGCAGCTGTGACAATGTGACCTTATTAGTAGGTGGAGTGGTCCCTCCTGTCAGATCAGAGAATGAGTGGCAAGGCGCCAAGACTGCTGGCAGGAAGAGAAGCTATGAATTGATGGTTGTGGTGGTTTGAATAAGAAGGACCCACATAGGCTCATATAGTTGAATGCTTAGTCACCAGGGAGTGACACTAATTAAAAGGATTAGGAGGATTAGGAAGTGTGACCCCTGTTGGAGGAAGTATGGGATAGGGGATGAGCATTGAAATTTCTAAAGCCCATACCGAGCCTATTCTCTTTCCCTCTCCCTTTCTCTCTGCCTGTGGGTCAATAAGTAAAGTTTCAGCCCCAGGGCCACATCTACATGCATGGCACCATATTCCTCACCATGATGTAATGGACTAAGCCTTTGAAACTATAAGCAAGCCCCAATTAAGTGCTTTGCTTTAGAAGAGTTGGCTTGGTCATGGTATCTTTTCACAGCAATGAAACACTGGTTAAACAGTGGTGGTTGTGAAGGGCAGACAGGAAGATGAGTAGACATGGGCGATGGAGGCATGGACTCTTAACCTTTGCCCGAGACTTTTATGTGACCCTGCGTATGGAAGTATAGAAGTGCAACATTTACTGAGAGGAAATCATACAGAAATTTATTGTATAAACCCTTTTGATACACGCTAAAATAGGACTGCAGATGTGTCGGTTACAGAAAGAAGATGACACAAACTATCCTTATTGGGGAAAAGGGTCATGAGACCATGATTGCATCTTAAAGTGCGAAAGCATTAAAAAGACATGTTATCTTATACTACAGCCACAATGAATGGGGCCTTAAAGGGAAAGAGAGGTTTCCCTTCAAAACCTGGAGAGAATATCCATTAAAATGGGTAGCTTAAAGCAGACATAAAAGAAAAAGCCATCATGGATAGATACCAGAGTGGACATGAGGCTTCAGAGAAATCTCCACAAGAGAAAATATCTGAATTTTATTCCCTTTCAGAGGATGGCAGGATGTTATGTACCACATGATTTTGTTCAATGTAGCCCATGTGACAAAGATCAGAGTAGGGCCAAGTAGAAGCATAAATTAGAAGCTTTAAAATTGTGCGTGTGTGGGTGTGTGGGGGACCTCTGCAATCACCATGGCCAGTAGAGTGTCACGCTGAATGAGGCAGGAAGGAAGTTCAGTTCAACATGACTCAGCCAGTGTTGATTAAAACTTCTAGAGTTAGATACTGGGCAGTTTAATTTAGGCATATTTAAATAGAGTGCAATTTGGAAGAAAGTGTCCCATTATAACACAATTTCATATGCACAATAAAGCTTAAGGCATAATTACATTGAAACTCATTTCAAAGTACATGCCACTTTTTCCCTAAAGATGGGATTGATAGATGGACTGCATGTGTCATCCTAAGAGACTTTGGGGGATCTCATGTGGTCTCAGTCATAACGACAGCGCAGAGGTCACCTAGTCTAGTAACTAGCTCTGGTCCTGTTCGTAAGACTCTGGGACAACCAGATATGGTCTGGCCCTACATATAGTACAGACGTCACCAGGCTATTAACCACATTCATTCCCTGTAAATGGAGACTGCTCACTTGTTTCCTGGCTGCCCTGACCCTAATAATTACACAGAAACTATATTTATTACATCACTGCTTGGACAAAAGCTTAGGCATATTCCTGGCTAACTCTTATATCTTATTTCTTAAATTAACCCATTCCTATTAATCTGTGTATCGCCATGAGGCTGTGGCTTACTAGTAAAGGTTCTGGGCATCTTTTTCCTTCAGCAGCTACATGGCATCAGCCTCCTTTGGCAGCTACATGGCGCTTCCCTGACTCTGCCTACTCTTTTTTTAAAATTTTTATTGTTTTATAAATAATATCATTATAACTTTCCACTTCCTTCCCTCCTCCCATTTCCCTCCTGCTCCTCCACTCACCCTCTGCCATCCCCCTGCAGTCCTAAGAGAGGGCAGGGTACCCTGCCCTGTGGAAAGTCTAAGGCCCTCCCACTTCCATCCAGGCTTAGGAAGGTATACATCCAAATAGATGAGGATCCCAAAAGGCCAGTACTTGCAGTAGATACAAATCCCAGTGCCATTATCATTGGCTTCTCAGTCTGCCCCAATTGTCAGCCACATTCAGAGAGTCCAGTTTGATCACATGCTCATTCAGTCCCAGTCCAGCTGGCTTTGGTGAGCTCCCATTAGATCAGGAACACTGTCTCAGTGGGTGCACCAACCCCTTGCGGTCCTAACTTCCTTGCTCATATTCTCCCTCCTGCACTTAAATGGACCTTGGGAGCTCAGTCCAGTGTTCCGATGTACGTCTCTGTCTCTATCTCCATCTGTCACTGGACGAAGATTCTATGGTGATATTCAAGATAGTCATCAGTCTGACTACAGGGACAAGGCCAGTTCTGGCACCCTCTCCTCCACTGCCCAGGGACCTAGCTGGGGACATTGATCCAAACAGCTTTATTCATCAATCAATAAAAGCAACACATATACAAAAGGATATCACACATCAATTCCCAGCTTTCTGTGTAGAAAACAGGTTATAGGTTATACATCTCTTTGAAGAGACAACCCTGTGTGTTTAACATTTTTAGTTTCTCTGGTGCTCACCTGTGAACACAAGGACCTGTGTCCACAACATAAAACCACAGCACAACTGGCTTCTTAACTCTTGGTTACAGAGTGGTCGAGGGCATGGGGTGATTTCTTCAGGGTGTGAGATCTGACTAACTTACAGTGTCCAGCAGCTTAGGAGTGCGGGTTCATGACGTCACGGTAGGCAGATAATTTCACCATCTATTCAAGATGCAAGCAAATTCACATAATAATGAGATGGAAGTGCTTGTTTATCTTTACATACAGAATTAAATCTTGATCTGCAAGACTTAGAACGTTTTCAACATTTCTCAGAGTTGACTGACATTATGATTTTTTTTCTTTTTTTAGATTTCTAGACAGGGTTTCTCTGTGGCTTTGGAGCCTGTCCTGGAACTAGCTCTTGTAGACCAGGTTGGCCTTGAACTCACAGAGATCCGCCTGCCTCTGCCTCCCGAGTGCTGGGATTAAAGGTGTGCCACCACCACCCAGTGTCAATTTGATTTTATAATAAATGAATTCAGCTTCATGTACATATGTAATATAAAATGGCAAAACAGAAGTATGCTTAGAACCATTTCACAAATTGTTGAAAATTTTATCTGAATCCCAAATCAAAATTCATTATTCCATTTAAAAAATTAACCCAAGTCAGCAACTCAATCATATCAAAATAATTATGTATTTGTTTCTTACAACCTGACTGCTATTTCCCCTTCTCTCCACCAAGTCCTTCTACCCACCCCTACCCCCTCCACTCTTCCATTTCTGTTTAGAGAAGGGCAGGCCATGGATATCAACCAAACATGGCATATCAAGTTGAAGGTTGGGTGAGGCAAATCTAGCACTTTAACCCAACGCAATCAAAAGACATCTGGTCCTTTAGTGCTGAGTAATGATGGGAGGAGAAAGAAATGCCTTTGTTTCCCGTGTGTTTCTATAAGAGCAGAGAACTCTGTACACACAGCAAAACACTTTAATTCATGACATGATGACTCACGAGAGTGTTGATAGCCCGAGGTGTTCCAAGTATTTCTGATGGTGCAGCACAGCATGGATCGGTGGTACATGCACAAGGCACAGATTGTGTGTTCACAACTAAAGCTGTAGTGATGTCACACAGTGCACCTGGAGCAAAAGCTGCCAGAATTATCTTATATATCTTACACATTTGATTTCAAGTTCAATTTCATTGTTGAATGTTCAATTTTTTTTTCTGTTGCCACATGTGTACAGCTCCTACATTCAGTAGCTGTGGACTAGGGAACCAATAGTGGTGGCAGGTATAAAGACTTGTAAAGATCTCCCACAGATAGATATGGTGGGTGGACCTGGCTAGTCTTCAGCCTTGTGGAGAGAAGCACCTATGAAGGATAGCTTCAAATCTATATACTAGTGGTTCTCAAACTTCCTAATGCTGTGACTCTTTAATACGGTTCCTCATGTTGTGTTGATAACCAATCATAAAATTATTTTTATTGCTACTTCCTAACTGTAATTTTGTTACTGTTATGAATTGTAATGTAAATATCTGATATGCAGGATATCTGATATTTGGCCCCCAAATGGTCCCGACCTTCTGGTTGAGAACCACAGCTCTAGCCTAAACAACAGGGAAGAAGTGGGTGCCTGACAGGGAGCAGTGAGGGAGGGGGAGTGGTGCAGAAGGTGTGGGCTGATGGCTGATGTTTGGATTAATCTTGTGGAATTCAAGCACTCGGGGGGGGGGGGGGAGCTCCTTCTAAACTACCTGGGCACAGAGATAAAAAAATCCCCGCACAGCACACAGCCTGAGAGTTCAGTTCCCCTGATTCCTCTCCAACCCCATATGCCACCACAGCCAACGTCTCAATCATGAAACTGCAAACCAAACAGCAAATTCACCTAGACACTCGATCCCCATGTCTGGCAGCCTTGGTGCAACTCATTTACTTCATTGGTTTTTCTTTCCCCATGAGCGCAGGCCCTCACTCAAAGACAACCAGTAAACTCAAGGAGCAGAGACTCATCTTCCCCTGACTTTGTGGACCCCAGCTGACCAGAGCATCCCAGGGCAGGCAGCTCTCAAGAAGGCTCCTAGACTTCCTGGAGCCCCCACGTGATGTCACCTCCGCTGCCCACAATCTCTTCCCCTGACCCCAGGGAGCACCCCACGGTGGGGAGGTGCCTGGAGGCGGCTGCTGCCTACTGTCCCTTCGTTGGGAGAGCGGTCTCCATAGAGACCGCAGGTCCCTGAGCTGGACAGTGCGGGCCGCGACGACCTATGCACCACTGCTGGCGAGAAAATCGCTGCCGTCTCCCCGGAGATTCGGGCTGCAGCAGAGGCAGCTAAGGAAGATGCCTTTTCTCTAAAGTCTTCCTTGCCTGGGAGACACCAGCTGGGCCTGCACTCCCTGCCTGCAGCGCCAAGGCCTCTCTAGCCTCTGGAGGACCGCTCCTCTTGATGGTCTTAACCCTTGCTGTCTGAGAGCCAAGCCGCATTTCCAGGGTTCAGCAAAGGAAGTGGTACTCTGGCCGCCAGACTGCTGCACCTGTTTCTCAGAGGAAACCTCCGGGAGACAGCCAGAGAGACCCGGAGGGAGACAGCCAGAGAGACCCAGAGAGTGAAACAGTGAAGGCTTCGTGAGAGGTTCAGAAAGAGGGCATGAGGGTTCTGTGGAGATGGAGGGAGGGAGAGATGTGGGAGCAACAGGCAAAAGAGGGAATTGGGAACCGGTGCGGGGAGGGGGTGGGAGAGGAGGAGGGAGGCTCCCTGGGATGGACCAAGTTGATGTGAAACCCAGAGAGAAGCTTCTAGAATGGGGCTTGTGTGCCTGTGGGTCTAGGCCAGGATCCCTCCTTAGCGCGCCACCATGGTGCTTTCTGAGAAGCATCCTTGTTTTTCTCAGAAGGCACTTCTCTTCAGTGTTAGAATCATGGTTGAGCTATCTCTGTGGGATGGATCTCTCTTTCTTTCCCCGGGGATTGGGAGTTTACAGGGAGAAGGGACCACCATTTCCTGTAGTTACCATTAGGCCCGTGGGCTGTCGCGGGGCTCAAGTCTGTGTTCAAGCTCACAGATGACTTGTTTCCTTGGCATTGCCAGCCGCCCACACCATCTATCTGCCGCCCTACAGTGTGAGACAGAGTCCCTGAAGAGTTACTGTTTTCAATGGAGACAACATTAGCCAGATAGAAACGTCAGAGAAACTCTCCTTGAGATTCCTGACAAACATGAGGACCAGGACGTGACTTAGAAATAGACAGGTAAAAAATTGAGCTCTGTGATTCCTGTGTCAGCAGCAAGTACTTGGACAGATGTCCTCAGATGCCAGCTGCATCAGAAGATACTCATTGAGAAGGCCCAAGTGTTGTCCCGGCTTCTGGAGGACAGCTGGTTTTGGCCAGGAGACCTCTGTGGGATGGGAAGTTGCTTGTTATGATTGCACAGGTTTCCATGCCTTCCCGATATGGTTTCTCTAGATTGACTCACACTGTTGGCAGAGTATGGATGTGTGTGCTGACCTCTGTGTAGGCGCTGGTTCCTTAGTCTTGTCCAAAAAGATCAAGTGAGGGTCCTTCTGTGGCTGAACCTCGCGAGCAATAGAGAAGGGTTCCTATATTTTAATTGCTCAACAGCTCTCTGTCAAAGAGGCAGTGTCTTCACCTACAGTACTTTGGCATCTAAGAAAATGTTTTCTCAGTAGCTTTTGTGAGGAAACACCTGTCAGTTACTGTGAAATTTGTACATGGATTGCACGAGATAGCTAGGTTAAGATAATGGCCGCTACCCATTTTCTTTAGTTTGCCTGAGGGTGGAAAGGAAACCCGACATCCTCACTCAGGGCTGGGACGGGCAGCCAGTTGTGCATTGCGAGAACCAGCTGTCTTCTCAAGTGATAGTCCTTTACTGAAACAGAATCTGTGTCCAAAATTTATTTACCAGATGGTGAGGAATTAAAGACCTCTGTGACTAGAAGATGGTGGATGCAAATTCAAGCCTAGATGGCAGGCCTGAGAGTTTAGATTACTGATGCTACTAGTAAAGACAGCCTGAAAAGAAGTGGCCACCATCAAAACCTAGCTGTGTGACCACTAGTGAGTTACTGAGCTTCTTTGATGGCCAGCTGCCTCATCTGCAGGGAGGATAGCAACACTGTTTGAACAGCCCTAATGTGAGCCTGCCAAATCCAAATGCCCCAAGTCCTGAGACTTTCCCGGCACCACTTTGAAACTAGACACAAATTCCAGAGCTGACCTCCTCCTGGCAGCTTGTTACAATGGAAGCTAGGGTGGGGAGGTGTCTAAGTGGTCCAGCGTGTGCTCTATATGCCTGGGGATCTGCGTTCAGTCTGAGCATGCACACAGACAAATAGAAAGACAGAAACACACGGGATGCTTTAAATGTGCATGAATTATATCAGTATAAAACTGTATAAAATCACCTGTAGGTTTTGTGTATATAAAGAGGAAATCAATTTTGCTTTTTATAGCCCTAAGATATCTCATGATATATATGCATATATCATCTACTCAGAAAGAAAACGCAGTGTCAGGGAAGGGCTACCCAGCCTGTACAACAAAGCCCTCCACACCCAGGCTAAGCCCTTCGTGATCATGGAGCCCCAGGATCTCCTCTGTGTTTCATTCCTCTCTGCTGACACCATCACAGGTCTTGCTGGCATTCTCACATCCGGTCCTGCCCTGCAGTTTAGGAGTCTCTGAGCAAAGTGATCTTGCAGGATTTGTGTGTGAATACAGGAAGTGTCACAACTTATCGTTCCGTTCACCCAGAGAAAGCCTGCGCCTTTTATCCCTGCAGTGTCCAGCGTCTAGAAGTGTGTGTTATCAGGGCAGCGGCTACACAACCCTCCGTGTTCTGCAGTGGTATCATGCCAGCTGTTTTTAGTGGAACCGCCTCTGTTTTGAATGACCATGGCACATCTGATTCTTAAGTTTCTGTTCCTTTGGGGCGATGACAAGTATTGTGTCTTCTCTCCCTACTCTTCCCGAGGGTCTAGCAGCCGTGCAGACCCCAGTGTCTTCCTTTATGTTTCACAGAACTTTGCTTCACCACACTGGCCTTGTTCTGAGGGTTGGGATCCACTGGTCATGTTATTGATGGATCCACTGTGTCCAGAAGAAGGCATACATGCCTGGCGAATGTACGCTGGCTAGTCTGGTGGTGTCGACTTGTAGGAGACGTGACGGTGTCACACAGGCCGTGGGTGGCAGGATCTATGCTGTAATCACAGAGATTAGTGGCTGTGGTGGCCAGGGGGGCTTGTCACTGGTGAGCAATGACTCTCTTCCCCCTGGTGCTTTGCTCTGTCCTCTGCTCTTCCCTGAGTCCTTCTTTTCAACTTCCAGGGCAGCTCACATCTCATGTCGACGTCTTTACTCCCCAATGCAGGAGCTCCCCAAGCTGATAACTGCTCAATGTCCTGCTCGTTTCGTCTTTCACGCTCATACTTGGGCTTCACTCAGCGTCCAGTGACTTTGATGTTCTTTTCTAGGGACACTGCTAAGAAGACTTTCTTCTCTTCCAGGCCTGGTGAGATAGGATCTATCCTGATAGGCACAGACAGCAGAGAACTCCGGTGAGTCAGGACCTGGACAACTCACCTGTCTGTGCAGTGTTCCTTGCTGGAATCCAGGCTCTCCCCTGCTGCCCTTTCACGTGGTAGGTGGCCACTCTTCAGCACCCGTTTCTTAGCACAGATGTGAGATTTTGACATTTTTAGCAAAATTTCCTGATATTATTTAAACAAATGGATTAAATAAATTCTATTTTCCTCAACTGAAATAAATTCATTTCCTAAGTGTACTTTATTACAGATGGGAAGGTGGGAAAGATAACATTTAATTTTCAAAGTGAACAACCTCTACTGGTAGCATTGATGGCCTCCACATTGCAAGCATTTGCTTGTTCAGCCACTCATTAATCCTCGTGCACACTGGGGTGCAGATGAGGGAGAGAAGGAGCCTGGCCAGGTTTCTTTGGGCTTCATAGACTGGCAAGGTTTGTTTGGCAGTCACCAGATCCTGAGGGCACAGCATGGCCAGAGTGCAGGTTGGTAAGTGTGTGCCACACCACTTAACCTGCTCTGGGCACCCACTAACTTCCGTGCCTTCCTTGTCTGAACACTGTGTCCCAAGAGAATCTCTAACTCAGACCTCTGGGGAGACTTAGAATCCGAATAGGTTCTGCTCCACCACCAAAGAGCAGACATCTCGAGTCAGGCAGACCCAGGCCGGGATTCCATTCTCTGTGATTATGTGATCTTTAGGCACATTACCCAGGTGCTCAGTGTTGGGGCTCTCCTCCACTGCAATGTGGAAAATACCAATTCTAGGAGGCTGACAGTCTTACATGTTTATCAAAAAGACCTGAGTTCTCCACAATTCTTGTGATAGAGGCTAGTGTACATTTACTAGGGTCAAGGTCCTGTGAACGGTGACCAGGGACTCTCACTGGCCACTCACTTGGCTCCCGGACTAGTAATTTAGGTGTACAGATAACCACGCCTTGACCACTGAATAGGCTGTGGCTGGGGTAGTGAAAATACAGGGTGGTGTTGGAATCTTAGGAAGGTCCCCAGACCAAATGGTGGGATGGAAAATGGAGAAGGCCTTGTGGAAGACGTCCTGTGTAAGCTGAGCTCTAAACCGTGGATTACAGGTGAAAGTTTTCTTGGCTTGTAACACCTATGCCAAACATTTCCTCAAAGGCTGCCGCCATCATCTATCCCACTGGCCACCATTTGCCAGAGGAATGGGTGAGTGACCCATAGGTGACCAACATGAGTGGAAAAGAATACCTGCTGGGGGCTTTGGGGCTATCTGCTCTCAAGAAAGATACAGAAATAAAAAGTTCTCTGCTACACTAGGCTTGTGGCATCTGTAGATTTCAGGAAAAGACTGGTGGCCCTCAATGGCGTCAGTAGATCACAGAGTGTACCTGACCTGCATCCAGCACCCTCCCTACATCCTCCTGACTGTTTACTGAAGCTGGAAATTGCTCTTCCTTCGTGAGGAAGGGTTCTCTTTACTCACGGCCACGGGCAGACTTTTACATCATGAGCACTGTGTATCTTTGTGCTTATATATTTGAGTGAGCAATGTGGTATGTTAGTTCAGGACAAGAGCTCTAATTCTTGACAAATTCCCAAATAGCACAGATCTCTGTGCCTTTATTTATCATCTATGTGCCATGTGCCTATATATCATCCTGAGAGAAGTTCTGTCTTACCTGTGAAATAAGTTTGTTATTAAGAACCAAAGTAGGGTTCTATGATGGCTCATGTGTGTAATCCAAACACTCACAAGGGTGAAGCAGGAGGATTGACATATTTGAGAAGAGTCTGAGCTACAGAGAAAGACCCTATTACAGAAATTTAAGAGTGAAGGAGGAGTAGAATTGCATAGCCACGTCAGAGTGTTCTCTGAGTAGATGGGAAGGAAATGTGCGGGGGGAAGGAAGCAGGAAAGAAAGGGGCACGTTTCCTGTCATGACTTCGCCTGTTGCTGCTGGGGGTTATTTGGGAGACAGACTTCCCACTCACCTCGTGGCCTTCAGCACGGAACACAGGAGTTACTCTAGACTGCTCTGATGGGTCAGGGGCATTTCTGTTTCTACCCTTTACCAAGCCTTATGGATGGTCCTTGATCAGAATGCTGGCTCTTTTCCTGTGGATTCCTCCTCTGTCAACTACACATATGCATTTTATATTGCATGGGAATTTCTAATTCAGTTTTAGCCTCCCCTTAGGCCAGTTGTTGTCTCTTCTTGGTTGGTGGATACCACAGGACAGGTGACAGGTGACTTTGTTTGGATCCTTTGTGCCATTGGAAGCTGCCTGAGATGTTGCCTTGCTCCACTATCCAAACCTGTCCCCTTCCGCATCTTATTAAACAGGTTTCATTGACACCAGATGCCAGGTCAGATCCAGCCACTGGTCTCTCTGTACTTAGTATTCAAGTTTTGTATTTGTGAAATGACAGTCTTTCTACCTACCTCAGGTTTCTGGAGTGAACCTAGTGAAGGATGAAGGGAGACTCCAGCACATATTTTGTGTTTGGGGGGCAGTACTACGTTATGGAACCTGTTGTCTGTCCCATGTTTTCTAGTCTACATCATTTGACATTTGGCAACACAATGGCTCAGCCAATGTTTTCAAGCTGTTCTGCAGGCAGGTGTGCCATGTTGTGGCTGTGATCTGTAGAAGGAGCAAGTGGGCTGCGTTACTGCCACCTGGTTCCCGGCTGCCTGGGTAGCTTATGCCTTGACATAATTACATGGAAACTGTATTTTAAACACTGCCTGGCCCATTATATCTAGCCTCTTCTTGGCTAACCCTCATACCTTGCTTACCCATTTCTAATAATCTGTGTGGCACCACAAGGTGGTGGCCTACTGGGAAAAATTCTAGCCTAATTTGTCTTGGGTCGGAGAATCATGGCGTCTTCCCGAGGCGTCTGCCTCACTGCCTTCTTCCTCCCTGCATTCAGTTCTGTTTACTCTGCCTACCTAATTTTTTGCCTTAACAAAAGTCCGAGGCAGTTTCTTTATTTTTTTATCTTTTGTTTTTGGTTTTTCGAGACAGGGTTTCTCTGTGGCTTTGGAGCCTGTCCTGGAACTAGCTCTGTAGACCAGGCTGGTCTCGAACTCAGAGAGATCCGCCTGCCTCTGCCTCCCGAGTGCTTGGATTAAATGCGTGCGCCACCATCACCCTGCCTGGCAGTTTCTTTATTAACCAATGAAAATAACACATAGACAGATGACCCTCCTCCATTGTTTCCCCTTTCTCTGTTTAAACAAAAAAGAAAGGCTTTCACTTCAACATAGTAAAATTACATATAACAAAACAGTTATCAAATAAGAATTATAGTTACAATATTTATATCTATTTTATCTTTTATCATAACTAAGGAAAACTATAACTATCTATCTATTCTTCAACTCCATCAAAGACTCCAGAAGGATATAATATTACTTAAGTAAATGAGAAGTAAGCAACTTTCAAAACTCTAGAAATTACAGAGACATCTCACTGCCTGGACAGTCACCCAAAGTTCCTCTATACCGTTGGGGCTTCTATCTTTGGCCTACAGGCCCATAGTTTCCAGCAGACATTTCCATGAGGCAGGAAATTTCAAAGGCAGTTCAGTCAATATCTGCTGTGTCCTGCAGAATGTCTCGCAGACTCTTTCATGAATCAGGAACCCCAAAAGATCATCTCTCCTTTAGGCAAGTTCAGCAGTCCTCTTTCTGGGGGTTCTTTGTGTCCAGTTTATGCAACAATCCAGGAAAGAGCAGTTTCTTGCCCAAATGGCTAACCAACTCCATAAGAAGCCTCTTTGATGCCCATCTTCCTCTTGAAGTAGATTGGTGCTGCCAGGAGCAGACGTGTTTCATTGTCATGGAAAGCCCTAAGTTATTAAAACATTAAATGCCTTATTCTGTAGTCTTTGAAAGATATGAAGAATGCCTATTTAACTGAAATATATCTCTATAAATCTAGAAAATATAACTAACATGACTACAAGCTTGTCTATTATTGATGATTATTTATTAACAACCTATATTTCCTAATTATACATTGCATTTTAAATGAACTACACAATCACAATACCTTAATCAAGATCAGAAATACATATACATATCACAAAATTGACCTTAAATTTAAATCACTAAAGCATATCAATGCAAATTATTCATATCTATATCATATCCCCCTTTAAATGTAAAAGAATATTTATAAACAATGTTTGGGAAGATGGGCGCAGTTTCTTTTTCTCTCCAAACTGCTTCCTGCTGAATGGGGGTGCTGTTAACCAGATTTTTCATGGTGTAACCATGGTGTAACAGCAGTTGAGTGAAGTAATTTTTTGAAGGTGTTCACAGCAACCTTTCAGGAGGGTGTGGTCTATCATACCATATTGGGATAGAAGCAATCCACAGGGTCTCATCCTCTGTGAAAACAAAAGGACTTTTCCAAAGCATTATAACCTTAGATCCAAGTATTTTCAAAATATCTATCTTGGATGAGTTCAGCAGCATTTATAAACAAATATCTTTTAGCAGCTGTTGCTCCTTCCTCAGCATTCAAACAATTCAAAGAGAGCATAATAGCATACAGTATCAAGATTCTCTGTGTATTTTCCAAATTTGTGCAGCTTTATTTTAACATCTATTTCATATATTTTTACTTTTATTTTTTGAGAAAGGTTCTCTGTATATCTTTGTCCTGGAATAACTCTGTAGACCAGGCTGTCCTTGAACTCTCAGAGATCCTCTCTATCTCTGCCTTCCCAGTGCTGGGATTAAGGTGTGTGCTACCACACCTTGAAGTCACAGAGGTCAATCTACCTCTGCCTCCCAAGTGTTGGGATTAAAGATGTGTACCACCACACCCAAACTGTCTTTCTTTCTTTATCTTTAAGGACTTTAACCCCCTTTTAAAGCCTGTATATATTTTTAACAAACTGTAAACCATTTAGAAGTTTTTTTTGAAACTCTCTTTACTGTATATCTCTCTTTTTCTGACTACATGAGTCTTTAAGGAGAGGGTTAAAGCTGTGGCTTTGATGACTGGATCCAGCCCATTCCTTAGCTTTCCAGCCTCATGGCTAAGGTACTTACGGTAACCATGTTTATTGCCACAACTCTATGGCATTTCAAGGTCCCTGCCAGCAAGCAAGCTGCAGCATTCTGCTCATAGACCACACTCAGTCAGGCTGCCTTCCTGAAAGAGTCAGAGTTTTGCACTGGCAAGACAGCCCAGAAAGCCGGCATTTTAAAATGGCACAGCTTTTTCCTGCTATGTCTGAAAACCAAAAAGCATGTGTTCAGCTTTTCGTCAACACCATTTAAGTGTTTAATGGCAGGACCTCTTAAAAGAGCTGCAGGATTTTGTAGCTAAAGCTGAGTCAGGAAGCCTCTCTTAGATGAGAGAGCTTGCCTCTAGCAAGCAGAGCAAACCCAAGAAATTGCTACTACCAAGAAAACATGCTTTACTCTATTCTTCCCCAAGCTTTCTCAGGCTTTCTGTTGATTCAGTTATTCACGTCTGGGGGCCATTTGTAGAAGGAGCAGTGGACTGCGTTACTGCTACCCGGCTCCTGGCCGCCTGGCTACCTTATGCGCCGAAATAATTACACGGAAACTGTATTTTTTTAAACACTGCCTGGCCCATTATATCTTGCCTCTTCCTGGATAACTCTCATACCTTGCTTAACCCATTTCTAATAATCTGTGTAGCACCACGAGGTGATGGCTTACCAGGAAAAATTGTAGCCTACATTTGTCTTTGGTTGGAGAATCATGGCATATTCCTGAGGCATCTGCCTCACTGCCTTCTTCCTCCCTGCATTCAGTTCTGCTTACTCTGCCTACCTAATTTTTTGTCCTATCAAAGGGCAAAGGCAGGTTCTTTATTAACCAATGAAAGGAACATATAGACAGATGACCCTCCTCCATCAGTGATCTGTAGAGAAACTATATCAATCAGAAATCTATGTCATTTCTGTGCCTTTCTGCATATCCCTGTCTAGTGCTAGAGTCCTGCATTTCAAGGCATTGCCTGCACTAGAATGTGAACTCTGGCAAGTGCAGATTCTGGAGGGCTGGTGTCATGGCTGGATATGATTCATGGAAGAAGTGATGTTGTAATTTTGAGCTTTAATTGGGCAGGCCAACTGAAATGCTGTAACTCAGGCAGGGATTGTGTGCTGGGGACAGGAAACTGCATTACCTCAACCCTGGGAGGGGCTTCAGACTTTGCCTGACTTGATGAGGTCCATTCACACAATCTAACATGTGTCTCTTAAGGTTTAATTGTAGTAGGCTGGGATTGTTGGCAGTAAAATTTCTCCCTCTGGAAAGAACTTCACAGAAACATTTAGGCTAGTGTTTGATTAACCAGGCACCACAACCTACCCGTGGTGACACATAATATTGACCACTACTCTGGGGAAACATTACACTTCCAAACAGAAGCTTTGACCAATAAACATCTTGGGTTTGTTCTTCTTGTCCAGTCATTGTTTCTTCCCACTCTTCATAAGATATATGAGATGATTATAGCAATGGTGATGGTGATGGTGGTGGTGGCAGTGGTGATGGTGGTGGTGATGGTGATGATTGTGGTGATGGTGACCATGATGGTGATGATGATGGTGGCGATAATGTTGAGGATGTTGATGATGCTGGTACTGGTGATGATGCTTATGGAGGTGGTGAGGATGATGGAGGAGGAGGAAACAGAAGGTAGCCTTATTTAAACAATAATGGTGATGATGTTGGTGCTGGTGATGATGTTGATTGTTTTGATGATGGTGGTGGTGGTAAGAATGATGGAGGTGGAGGAAACAGAAAGTTGCCTTGATTTCAACTGATGTTTGATGTATGATTTGTATCCCTCTGAGGCAAGAGACAGTTGATGAAGTCAGATGAAGGATGGAAGTCATATCTATTTCCCTAGCTGCTCTCTGTATCCAAATAGGGGAAATTTGTGGGCCACCTTGTATTTAATCTCTAGAGAGGCTCATGAGTAGCTTCATGAGCATTTTTTGTGGCACTAAAGGACAGGAAATAGTTCTCAGGAGTGTGGGAGAGAAGGAGAGCAAAGTGTGGTTAATTGCTAGTTTGTTCTGTGATTTGATGTTATTGAAATCCAGGCAATTTCTTGATTAAAGGTCCTTGTGAGACTTATTTTCTCCCTGTGAGAATTAGCATTCTAAATGAAAAAATATACTGGGAGTGTCTCTGTGACATGGAAAACTGATCAGATGTGTGAATCTCTAGTGACAGTTGATTCTCAATAGGGAGTTCTCGATCTCAAGATCCTGCTCTAGCTGGGCAGTGGTGGTGCACACCTTTAGTTCAGCCCTCAGGAACCAGAGGCAGGAAGATATTTGTGAGCCTGAGGCCATCCTTGTCTACAGAGTGAGTTCTGGGATAGTCTAAAGTACACAGAGAAACCTTGTCTCGAAAAAAGAAATAATAAAAAAATAATCCAGCTCTACATGCTTCACACCGAAGGGTTTGCGAGGGGGGTGGTGATGGCTCTCAGGATTTAACCGAAGGAGCCTGAGGTAATAGAGTTTTCAAGGACGGAATTGTTAAGAGTCCCCCTTCCTAAGACATTTGTTTTTAATGTCTTATAAAAAGTAAGTCACATGGCTTGATAGCTTTCTAATATTGTTCTGAGTTTCCTATGTTTATAACAAATTCTAAGTATTTGGTGTGTATTGAAGAAACTACTGATGTGTAGGATTCCAAATTTGCTGAAACAACAGGGCCGGAGATATCATTCTTACAATTTAATTTAGCAATTTAAAGAGGGAAAGTGAGGTGGGCAGGCAGGTGGAGACGGAGAGAAAACGGGTTGTTTTGAGATTCATCCAGTACAGGTTTACTGAAAGAATAAGGAAAGATGTCCATTTAATATCTACCATTTGGAGTTCTTAGTTAGCATAGAGTGAGTTGACATATTCCTTTTGAATTACTCATTTTAAATACTGATTCCATTTTGAATTAAGCTATGCACATCTGTGTGCATGTGGATTTGTGCATCATGCTTTTGGTTTAAGACTTGTTCATACCTATTGTTTGGTCCAGAAGGCGTTTTTGTGCATTGTCTTCTAGAAGGGATATTATTATACCACCAACGCTTTTTTCTGAAATCTTTGATTTACTGCATATATAAATATGAGATTGGAGTTCATAGCTTTGCATATGGTTATGCAGGGATTTATGTTTGTTGAGGATTCACCATTCTCTGATTCCCTTTGTGCTTTCCGTGTCCAGACTCATTTGTAAGGGGCATTTGTTGATTGTTTCCTTTTGTGCATCTGAGTGTCCATCAGTTCCCATGACAATAGTCTCGCTGATTGCTGGCTGGTTTTGTGTCAAATGACACAAGCAAGCATAATTTTTGAAGAAGTAGATCAACTGAGAACAAACTTCCACCACCATGGCCTATGTGCAAGCCTGTGGTTGTTTTCTTTTATTAAATTGGTTTTATTGAGCTCTCTCTCTATATATATATTTCTGCTTCCCTCCCTTCCTCCCCGGCCCTCTACCCTTTTCCATGGTCCCCATGCTCCCAATTTACTCAGGAAATCTTATCTTTTACTACTCTGTGTAGTTTTCTTAACTAGTAATTGAGATGGGGTGGCCAGTCCATTGTGAGTGGTGTCCTGGGGTGTATAAGAGGGCAGGGTGAGCATTTCTCAGGGAGCAAGTCAGTAAGCGGCATTCTTCCATGGCCTCTGTGTTTGTTCTTGCTTGCAGGTTCCTGCACTGGGTTCTTGCCCTGACTTCCCTCACTGGGAAACTGTGATATGGCAGTGTAAACTGAAGTAAGCCATTTTCACCCCCAGCTCCTTGTGGTTATGGTGATTCCATCATAGCAGTACAAAACACAACAAAGACACGGCACTTACAATAAGGCTTAAAAGTAAATGACGTGATTT